GGGGAAGAGAGTTTTTGCTGGACTTCTTGCTCTTCATATTTTAGGGCTGGATGAGACCTTGAGGGGTCAGCTGGGCTCCCTGGCAGGGACAGCGTGGAGGCTGCAGCACTTCTCTGGGAAGCAGCTCTGCAAGCAGCGGGGAAAGGGAAGAGCCAAGGCGGGAGCATCCCGGCCATGCATCCCATTTATCCTTTGACTTTTGAAGGATTTGGGGGGGAGAATGAGATCTCACTTTGAGCCAGCACAGCGGAAGGCAAGAAGAAGGGGAAGGCGAGGAGAGCTGCCACGCCAGTGGGAGCGGGAGCAGGGAGCTGGAAGTGCTGCGACTGCAGATGAGGAGGCAGCGCTGGCGACGTGCATTAGGAATGACGAGGCAGTTGTTTCAAAGCAGGATGAACTGTAGGGTTCAGAGATGTTCCAGACTCCTGCAGGGCCCAAGACAAATGTTGAAAGCCAGAATTCCCAAAGGGTCTTTCTGTTTTCTTTTTAAAAAATAATAAAAAATAATAAAAAAGATCTACCTGTCAAATCTTATCAAGTGAAGCGCTGAATTAAGGAAGGCAAGACTTAATGGGCTTTCTTCCCTAAAAATAGATCTCCTCATGAAAGAGATGAAGGGCATTGCCCAGGGAGGTCAGCCAAAATTGTCTGAAATTACGCTATCACCTAGATCTGATGTCCAAAATTAGCCTCCTCTCTCGCTATGGGGGTTCAATGCTCCCTGAAGATTAAACGCATCACAACACTCATTTAATTTAAAAGAGAGGCTAAAACATATGGCATGCCATGGTTTAAATGTTAGAAAAAAAATCAGCTTGGGACTCTTCGTTATGATTAGCAATGTGCTAATGAAGGCAAGGGGGAAAGGAGTGTGTGTGCAGGGCTGTGCGAGGAGGCTGGGCAAGGCTGCAGGCAGGAATCGGGGACGTTGCTAGGAAGAATGGGAAGGACCTGAACCAGAGCTGCTTTCACCATCCAGAACTAGTCTTGCTCTTTTTTCAGAAGGCTGAGGAAGATGATTTGCCTTAAATAATTCTCCAGCCTCCTCTGTGTGGGTGTTTTCTGGGCTCTGTGATTAAGAGAGAGCATTTGAAAGCAATGGGATAGGAACCTTGTTTAAAGACTGAGTGTTCCTTTCTTTTTTTCCTTTTTAATTAATGTGAGGTTGCTACTGGAGTGGAGTAGTTGGATGAAGGTGTTTGAGGAACACGAGGTTAATGGAAGGTGAAAGAGGAAGGGAATAAAACTGCCAATATGAGCCAGGCAGAGTGTGAACCAGGAGATGCTCCAGCCCAGCCAGCTCACGACTGACTCATGGGTTTAGAGTGAATAAACTCCCTATGTGGAGGGGAGAAAACAACCTCAGGGAGACCTGGGCAAGGCTGGGGGGAACCGGCAGTGCTGCTGGTCCCGGCACTTGAGAAAAGGAGGAAGTTTTCATGGGACTTCACCAACGCAAAGCTCCCTGCCCAGTACTGGCGCCATTAAAAATAACATAGAGGCTGTATAGGCTGTCTCTATGTGCATGAAGGGGGCGGGGGGTATGATTTTGTCACTGTTTGGGGGTTTTTATTTTACCATCTAAAAAATGGCTTTGCAGAAGAGCACTGGGGAGGTATGGGCATAGCTGATGTGCTTTGGGAGGCTCTAACTAGGGTGTTGTGAAGGATAGGAGCCTCCAGTCCCCTCTGACGGTGCAGAGGGGCCGTGGGATGGCGGCAGACCCCTTACCCTGTGCCTTGGTTTCCTGGAGAAAGGATCCCCAGATTTTTGCTGCCTGGCCCTTGTATCCCCAGCCTGTCCTCGGTGCTGTGGGAGGCAGAGAGCATCCCTCCTCCCTGCCCCACTTCCAGGGGGGCCGCCAGCACTTTCAGATGGTTTTTACCAGCCGAGCCCACCGGTGGTTGTAGGCTCACGTATCAGGGATGCTTGCCCGCCCTGCTGCGGGGCAGGGACACCTCTCCCCGAGGCACAAAACTCTTCCAGCTGCCCCGTGAGGCTGCGCTGGAGCGCGTGAGTCAGCACCCTCACCACCACCGCTTTCCAGCACTGACACCGTAATTGCCTCCCACTCTCGCACCAAATGCTGGGAATTGAAAAATCAGAGGTGGAAATCATGACTTGAGGGGACTGGTTATTTGATTTGATTTGTTTCATCTCATTTTATTCTAACAGCATGATTTTAGGGGTAGCCTCGTACAATTTTTGGACACTGACTGGGATATTTTGCACCCTCTGAGCCAGTCAATGCCAAACATTCAGGGTAGAGAGAAGAGCAAGATAAGTCACTCTTATCTGCTGTGATCTACCAGTCAGCGGAGAGGCCTGCAAGCAAGGGCTGGAATGCTTTTTGCATCCAAGTGCAGCCTATTTTTTAGCTGAGAAAAGCAAAATGCACATTTCCAGGCTCCTCGTCCCCGCACCGTCATGGAGAGAACTGACCCTGTGGCTGTCCCTTCCCCAGCACAGCCCAGCCCCGTTCCCCACCACTTCAAGCCTTGATTTGGGACTGAGCAAGACCATTGCTCATCACCACCACATGCCCCCAACAAATCCCAGCTGTGAAACACTTGGGAAAGTGTTGGTTGATTTTTTTTTTTTCAAAAAAAAAAAGCCTCCAGGCGATGCATGCCCATGATTCCCAGCCTGCTGCTCCCTCCGGGCTCTGTGGCCCAAATGCTCCTGAGGACCGTTAAAGGTCCATCAATGTGTTTTAATTGTGTAGTAACCAGGGCCAGTGTTTTTGTTGGCCCATGACCCAGGCTGCAGAGCTTTGAAACTCGCCGGGCCGCCGCTTGCCCCGGCCGCGCCGCCAATTATCCACTGCGCTACAGCCTAACGCAGGCAGGTTTACCTACCTCCGTGGGTGTTGTGGGGCTTAATGAATGTTTCCAGCATGCTTTGAAGATGAAAAATGCTCTAAGTGTTAAGTATTAGTGTGATTTAAGTGTGTGGAGCAGTTAAGTCTCGCTCACGCCGTCCTTCCTGCAGCACTAGAGCCCTGCTCGGGTTTGATTTTTGCAGAGCAGGGTTCTTGTTATTGATGTCCTTCCTCTGGAAGGAGCCAAACTGGGACATTTTGCATTCCTCCTCTGGAAGGAGCCAAACTGGGACATTTCGGCAGGTGCTGTAACACTGCAAGCGGCTCTGTGGGCAGGTTTTTTTTTTTTTCACTATGAGTTGACGTAGTTTTCGTTAAACCCGATAAACTTAAGCTAAGCTAAAAAAAACCCCCAACACTTCAGTCAAAATAAGGTTCTTGCTTTCTCCTCATCTTCTGTACCGTTTAAAAAAGAAAATTGGTTGGATGTTACACTTTTTAAGCTGTAACAGTAGAACTTTCCCACGCTGCCTCTCCATTTAGCAGCTGACAAGCCAGACCTGTAATCACAATCCTTATCCCGAGACAAGCTAAAAAACAAAATGTTTCTGAAACGCTGAAGGTAGGTGAACACTTTCAGAGTGTCACATATTAAGGTGGTGTCTAACGAGCTCCATGTCCCACTTATAATTGAAACAGAAGAGAGTATTCACTTTTCATTCATTTTAAAAAGACTATTCAAATACCCTTTCATCTCCGCTAAACAGCCTGCCATGTATTTGAAGCCATTTTATATTTTGTTTCTACAGACATCCAAAAAACAGAGGTGAGTATTTTGGAACATTGATAGAAAGATGCAAAGGCTTGTGAGGCACTGAATGGCTTCAAGCTGCCTCAAACACATTCATCTTCCCAAGAAGAATTAGGCACAGTGTGATTCATTTTAATAGCAGAAGAAAAATAATACTACGATGTAGTGCTAAGTTCCCAACCTTTGATGGCAGACTAAAAAAAGAGAGAGGGAAAAAAAAAAATTATCTTTCTTCCCTTATGTTGTTGAAGTCTCCCTACACCCATCCGTTATGTCCAGCTTATCAATTAAGATGAACCCCATGAACTTCAGATGGTTTTTTTAAAACAAGGCACCATCCATTTAAATGTGTAAAACTGCCTGCAGCTCCCTTGAACTGCAGGATTCAGTCCTGAGCTCTGTGTACTCGGTGTGAAGTTGAGCCCTTTGATAGAAGTTTTACTGATGTTTTAAATGAAGTCTTCTCATACACACAAAATAACCCAGATAATTTAAAACCTCATAGAAAAAATAAGGTGGAGAGAGAGAGGAAAAAAAAAAAAAAACAAAAACCCAACAAAAAACTAGACGGTGCCATTGGTCTAGCAAAAGAAAAGAGGCTGGCTTTGGTTACCAACAGGACAGACCAAAAGCATTTCCACAATTGCTTTCCCAGGGTTACTCGCTTGAGCCGGGGAAGGTCTGGGCGACAGCTGGGCGACAAATCCATCCCTGGTATGGGCAGCTTCCCTCAGGAACAAATTAAGCTCGTTCAGCTATAAAACAGGTTTTGTACCATAAATACCAGCGAGAGGGAAGGCGCAGGGGTGTAAGAGCTCCCCAGCGTTTGTCCTGCTCAGCCGCTTCCATCAAATCTCTCCCCGGTTTGTCTTGGCCAACGCAGCCACATTAGCAAGGACTTTACAAGGCTGGGTTTTGCTCTGGCAGGTGATGGAGGTTGGCAGTCCCGGCTCCATCACAGGTGGGTGAGGCTGTGCCCACCCTCCATCACCCAGCAATGACGTGCCACGGCCCTGCGGGAGAGCTCCAGCACTGGGGCCACCACGTCCCTTCCAACATCCCACCCTGGCTCCCTCATCCTACATGCAGGACAAATCCCCACTCCTCTATCAGCCCGGCCTCTCCCCCTCAGGCAGGCTTGGCGGTGCAGCCGGGGCAATAAGGCCAAGCTAAATTTGTAGCTGAGTTACCTGAAGGAGCCGTAGATGACTTAAGCATTGCCCTTGCCTTGCCTACTTGAGCTGCAACCACTTCCCAGCAGGAAGAGCCCCAGCCAGGGCAGGGCAGAGCTCAGCTCTTGTTTCCAGCTACCACCATCCATGAGAAGAAACCTTTTAAGGCATTAAGGGTGAAAAAAAAAAAAAAAAAAAAAATATAAAATTTTAATAAAGGCTACATCTCTTAATTACAATAATTATTGTACCAAGTAATTTTTTTTTTAAATGAAACTCTTTATAATGCATAATTTACAGTATAAGTAGAACAAAATGCCATGGCAAAAGTCATGAGTACAGGACTTGTAATAAAAGGCATAAAATATATTTATACATAAACCCCTTAAACAAACAAGGGAAAGCTTGAACCCTGAATATAGGGCGACGCATGGTCTCGTAACGCCATGCAGGCACAGGTACTGTACTGATTAAATTTTAAAAACACTAGAGATAGTGTATTAATATTTTCACCATACATTTTCTACAATATATACAGACTTATACAAAGTAGCAATTGGCAAACAGAATGCACAGATTAACTTAATCAACACAAAACCCAACTGTAGAAATGCAAGGTCGTTCCCGGGAAAGGGTCGCTCCATCCCAACACCCACACACACGCACACACCAAGCTCTGCCCAGGGCTGCAGAGCGCCTTCGCCCACATCTCCCACGGGCTCACATGGGTGTTGTGAAGGTAAGGCAAAAAAAACCCAACAAAACCAACAAAAAAACACCCAACAAACCCAAACGAAACAAACAAAAAAAAACCCCAAAACCCCAACCCACCACACAACGAGTCACGCGTTCCACACCGATCTGAAAATACGCCCCATCGTAGTTACACGCCACTGAAATACAACTGTGCTAACATTGAAGTAGAATGGCTAAACAAAATTAGCTAGCTACGTGGAATACATACAGGGGTTTGTTTAACCCGGCTTTTGCAACGTGTCCTTTTGGTGTGCTAAGCATGGAAACGGGAACTGGATGGCTTCTACAGCTCTCCCAGGCTCAGGGTTTTGCTCTCCCTTGCCTCGACCGAGAGAGGCACCGGACACCACCTGGTACCCTCACCACCGACAGCAGCAAAGCAAAAACCTCACACCGCAGAAATCCATGGACAACATTAACAAGTTGCTGTCGTAATATTGCATCTAACATCTTTAACGCTTAAGACCTTTATTTCAAATTAGAGCAGCATAGATTAAAATGCACCGGTCTCTAGATGAATGGTAGGACAGTATTTTTATTTCGGCTTTTATTATTTCTTTAGAAAAGTTTTATCTTCACTCGGAGAAATACTGGGCACAACGTCACTCCTTCCCTCCTCCCACTTCAAAAAAAAAAAAAAAATCACGAATGCGTTCATAGCCAAACTCCTAAATTTTAGATAGTGGGAACAATGTAAAAAAATAAAATAATCCTTCCTCCCATCACCCCACTTTCCCAGCCCCTCTCTTCTCCATTGTTAAAGCAGCATATCCAAAAACTGGACTTAAGGGAAAACAGACTGTTCAATAAATATCAATAGGGATTACTGTTAAGGTAAGCTATACACAGTTTCTCTTAGTCCATAGTTTTCAGATCCCCAGGAAATCATATATTATGTATGGAAGTCTCTCAAACACGGTCTGCATCTCCAATAGCCAACAGTGGTCATGTTTTTAATAAATAGTTCAGGGTTTTTATCATCTCAGTACCCAACTCATGAATAATAAATGCCATTTTTTTCCTCTAAGGCTAATTCAGCAAAGTCTTCATAGACTTCACTTTTTTTCTTCATTGGTTCAAAACTTTTCCTTCAGAGTTTTGTGGGTTTGTTTTTTTTTTTCTTTCCTTGTCATCACTACTGTTGTGTGTCCAAAGACTTTTCTAGCTTAACTTTTCTTAAGAAACACAGATGCCATCAATCGATTCTTTCTACTTTCCCAAGAATCCTTCCTTCGTACATCGGCAGGATGGTTTCGTCCTCCCAAATCTCTTCGAATACCGCACCACAGTCGAACTCGTCGCTTGCTTTTTTGAAGTAGTATCTGTGGTAAGAAGAATTAGAACACAGTTAAAAATCAAAAGGTAAAGCAAAGGATGCTTTGGCAGTTCTTTTAACCACAACATTTCCAATCTCTCCCTCCTCGGATGCTCCTCCAGCGCCTGGCGTGGCCAGGAAAACCTCAGAGTTGCTCAGGTTCAGCAACATGAAAGCATCCCTGGGTCTGCAGGGGATGGGACAGAGGGAGCTGGGCTGTGCACGCTCCTCAGCGGTGACAACAGCTTCTACAGTGAGTAAATTATACACGTTGGCAGTGGATATCCTCAGCCGTAAAGAAAATTAGAAAGCGTGGTGATTTCTGGCCAAATGTCTTATTTAAAAAAAATAAATAAATAGGATTTCAAAGCAAAGCATTCTTAAGGTTCCCCTCTCTCCCCACCTTCTTTCTTTCATGTGTTTTCTTGTTTCAAAGCTGAAGCCCAACATTAAAATTAGCAACTGTTATTAAAAGGAGAGGCTTTTTAGGCATACAGATGGATTAAAAGAAAAACCATCCCAGCTTCCTGCAATGCAAAAGCTGAAACTCTGTGGTACTCCTACTGAAAAAAAAAAAACAAACCAAAAAAACCCGGGAGCCTCACATTTGAAACAACCAAATGCCTAATTCACGTCTCCATTTTAAGTGACAGAAACTCCTGGATGTGTTTCCCGACTCTTCCTAGCAGGCAGAGGCAGGGAGCAGCCCTGGTCCAGCCTGCGGGACGTGACACGGGGAGGTCAAGTAGCAGTGTCCTGCATTCCTGCTCTTTTGCTCCGGGTCGTTAGATCATGAAGCCAACCCTCCCAGAGACAAAAAGCACCCCCACCCCTCCTGTGTCAAACAGTAAGGACCCCTCTATTATCCTGAATTAGACCGTTCAGCTTCTTGATTAAAGGTTCCTTTTATCCCGTTTGGAGCTTTCTTCCTTCTAAGGCTGCTTAATTGCATATGCACAAATGAAGGGCTTCCATTCAGAGGGGTAGCATTTAGGGAGCCTGTCCGTCTGCCGCCGCACACCTCCTCGGACATGCCCGCTCCCTTGGAAAAGTGCTTTGCCATCCGATCGCCAAGGGATGGAAAAACCTTCATCCGATGGATTACCAACCAAAAAAATCAAATTAAAAAAAAAAATAAAATTCAGCACCTCCCATACCCCTCCCCTGTAGTTTCCAGACAACTGGAGTTGGCAGATGTTTGCCAGGGGAAACCGGTTGGCAATTATTATTATTTTAGGATGGGAAAGCAGATCAAATTAAGCTCACTTTCACTATTAAAACTGGAAGAGCCACAGCAGGGTCTTAGAATTTGTTTGGGTCTTTTTTTAGTGACTGTTCTACTACACATTTTTAAAATACTCAGTAACAACGGCCTGCAAAGCTATTTATTTTTAGGGTACGTTAAAATTATTTTGGTAAGGGGATCAAAGCTGGCTTTTTAGTCAACGCAATGAAACCAGCTCCATTTAGTCAAGGTATGGTTAGGATTTATTTTTGTAAAGTCATTCCAAGCTGAATTGACACGTTGCGTCTTTAATGGCTCAGCAAGGAAAAATATCTTATTTAAGTCCTTCAGAGTCTGCACTCATTGAAGTCAATGGCCCAACTCCCACCAACTTTCATGCTGCAGGTCAAGGCCACAATTCCCCAGGCCAACAGCCTTGAAACAAACCCAAAAAAACCCAAGGAAAGTTTGAATGAATTACAAAGAACTTTCTCTTCCCTTTCCCCTTCTCCGCCCCTGTCCAGATAACAGCCGCTCTTCCCAATAACTTCCTCCACAAGCCCAAGCGCTGGCTATGTTTACAAAATTTTTATTTGAGAAAACACGCTATGACCTTTTACATAATTACAACCTTATTTCACAGAGAAAAGGGGAAAAAAAAAAAAAAAGAGAGGAGGAAAAAGAGGAGTCAAAGCAAAAAAAAAAAATCCTCCCCCACATCATCTTCAAACGAGCCACTCTGTTCTTATTTGCTCAGAAATGGGCTTTCCATTGAAACATATTTTATGTGGCAAGCTTTGCTCTTTTTTTTTAAATTTTATTTTATTTTATTTTTTGGGACATCTGGCACCAATCGAGGCGAGTAGGCCTGGCGTTACAGCTCTGTTTTGAACCGCTGCCATCTTCAGATTACCCGACACCACCCAGTTTTTTTGTGCATGTATGTTTGTTTTTTGTTAACGCCATCAGTATTAAATCACTGCTTAATTCCTTTTTTTTTTTTTTTTTTTTTTTTTTT